TGGAATATATGCAGGCTGGGGGCTGAGGATACGGAGTCTCAAAAAGGATGATCAACCCAACAGCCAGGCAAGGCAGCAGAAGTAAGGATGGTCCAGCTGGCTCTGCAGTCTTGACCTGAATCATTTCTCCTTTCTGGCATCTGTTTACTTATCTGTGTCAAAAGAAGACAATATATATTACAAATATAAGGCATGAAAGAGGAGACATCACTACAGACCCTACAGACATTAACAGGGTAAGGACTAATATGAGCAACTCTATACCCATAAATGTGACAACACAGATGAAAAGGACAAATTCCTAGAAAGATCCAGAAAGGGAATAGTAATACTTATCAAATCTATTTTGCAGGATTTCAGTGGGTCTTCCAGTCAACAAACAACAAATAAAACACCGTGACAAGAAATAGTCTTAACTGTTGCCCCAGAGTCAGGAAATCTATAGATGACTCTTCAATTCTATGGGTGGTACTGGCTATGGCTATGATGAATAGCCTTTTGCCTCTACCAGAATGGCAGAGACCAGGGCTTGTTTGTATTTTCTCTTTAGTATGGAAAATTTCAATCACTAAAGTAGAAGAGAGTATTATCATGAACCCCCAGATCCCTATCACCCCATCACTTAATTATAAACATCTTGTAAAAACTGCTTCATCTATTTTTTCCTAATTGAAATATTTTAAAATAAATCCCAGACATCAAAGTGTCTTTGATATCAAAGGACCCTAAGTCCTTTGACACTCATCTCTAAAAAATGAAATTTTGCTATATAAAAATTTTCACAGCTAACAAAACAGTAATCCTTTACTATTATCCAATGCTCTATGCAAATTTCCCTGGTTGTCCCCAAAAGTGTCCTTTTATGCTTAATCTGTTTGAATCAGAATTCAAACAAGGGCTACATACTGGATTTTATTATTATGCTTCCTAAAAAGTTGGCTTAAAGCTCAACATTCAGAAAACTAAGATCATGGCATCTGGTCCCATCACTTCATGGCAAATAGATGGGGAAACAGTGACTGACTTTATTTTGGGGGGCTCCAAAATCACTGCAGATGGTGATTGCAGCCATGAAATTAAAAGACACTTGCTCCTTGGATGGAAAGTTATGACCAACCTAGACAGCATATTAAAAAGCAGAGACATTACTTTGCCAACAAAGGTCTGTCTAGGCAAGGCTATGGTTTTTCCAGTAGTTATGTATGGATGTGAGAGTTGGACTATAAAGAAAGCTGAGCACCGAAGAATTGATGCTTTTGAACTGTGGTGCTGGAGAAGACTCCTGAGAGTCCCTTGGACTGCAAGGAGGTCCAACCAGTTCATCCTAAAGATCAGTCCTGAGTGTTCATTAGAAGTACTGATGTTGAAGCTGAAACTCCAATACTTTGGCCACCTGATGTGAAGAGCCGACTCATTTGAAAAGACCCTGATACTGGGAAAGATTGAGGGCAGGAGGAGAAGGAGACAACAGAGGATGAGATGGTTGGATGGCATCACTGACTCAATGGAGATAAGTTTGGGTAAACTCTAGGAGTTGGTGATGGACACAGAGGCCTGGCATGCTGCGGTCCAGGGGGTCTCGACTGAATGACTGAGCTGAACTGAAGTGAAGACTCTTAATCTTAAATATTTACACTCATCTCTCTCCGGTTTTTTTCACACTGTAGATTTGTTGAAGACACTGAATCAGTTATCCTTTGGGTTTCTCCCATGTAGTTTTCTGATTGAGCAGAGTTTTGCTAAATGAGATCTGGTTGTGTGTCAGGGGTGCATGAAACTTCAAAATTAGATTAAAAAGACTTGTGTGCAAGGTATTCCTCTACCCACTGCCTTGGAGAGGGAGCATTCTTCCAAATTTGTTCTTCTCCAGGTACTCTCAATTCTGGGGTATCCTACAGATTGTTCATATATCTTATAACAAATCTGGGGTCATTTTAAGGCCTTTGGCTTTTACTCTGCATTTGATGGAAACCATAGGAGGGTTCTGAGAAGATGAGTGATAAAAAATCTAATTTACATGGAATTCCCTGGTGGTCCAGTGGTTAGAACTCTGCACTTTCACTGCCCAGGGCAAGGGTTCAATCTCGGGTTGTGGAACTAACATCCCTCAAGCTGCACACATCTCAGCCAATAAAAACCCATCAATTTTCATATTCAAAAAGCATCCTATGTGTGGATAATAGATTGTGGTAAGGGAGTCAGAGGCTGGGGGCAGGAATGGAAACAGGGAGATTAATGACGAGGTTACTACAACAATTCAGAGGAAAGAGGGCAGTGGGTCTGAACCAGGGAGAAAGAGGCAGTAGACATAAGGAGTATTGGGCAGTTTTGGACCCATCTAGAGGTAGAGCCACTGGAATTTGCTGTCAGAATGGATGTGAACAGGAGAGAAAGAAGGAGTCAAAGATGACCCCAAGGTTTGGGGCTTGACCAGTTGGAAAGCTGGAGGCACCATCAATTTAGCTGGGGAAAATTAACAAGGAGTTGGTACTAGGAAGATTAGGAGTTCATGAATTCAGTTTTGGACGAATTGAGATTGATGTGCCCATGAGACATTTAAGAGGAGATGTCCAGAAGGCAACTGGATACAAGTCTGGAGTTTAGGAGACAGGTTTGTAGTGGGGTCATGTTTGGCAATCACTGGTGTATAGATGATACTTTAAAAAATCCAAGAGACTGGATGAGATGACCAAGGAAGTGGACGTGGATAAAGAAAGAGAAACAAGGATTGTAGCCTGAGGAGCTCTAACATTAAAAGGGCAGGGAGAAGTCAGCCTAGGAAACCGAGGAACGCTAATGAGTAGAAAGAAAAATCAAGAAACCTCTGGTGTCACAGAAACTAAGTGAAGAAACTGTACCAAGGAGGAAGGAGTGATCAGTTGTGTCAAGTGCTGCTAACAGGTCAAGCAGAAAATAATTGAAAGTCAGTGATTATATTTAGCAAGATGAAGATTATCAGTAACCCTGACAAGAGCAGTTTTGGTAGAGTGATGAGTGCATAAGTCTGATTAGACTGCTTTAAAGACAGAACAAGAGAAAAGAAATTGGAAGCAAGAAATATAGATATTTTCTAGTAACTTTGCTAGAAATGTGGCAGTAGTTGATGAGAGAAAGGAAATAAAAGTCGTGTGTGTGTGTGTGTGTGTGTGTGTGTGTGTGTGTGTGTGTGTGTTAAGGTAAGGGAATTGCTGGAGTCAAGAACTTGATAAATAGAGAATTCCCTGGTGGTCCAATGGTTAGGACTCAGTGGCTTTCACTGCAGGCCAGGGTTCAATCACTGGTGGGGGAACTAAGATCCCACAAGCCACTTGGCCAAAAAAAAAAAAAGAGAGAGAGAGAGAGAGAAATTGATAAACAACAACAACAAAAAAAGGTGAGATTGGACTTCCCTGGTGGTCCAGTGGCTAAGATTCTGTGCTCCCAATGCAGGGGCCCTGGGTTTGATCCCTGGTTAGGGAACTAGATTCCACATGCTGCAACTAAGACTTGGTGCAACCAAATAAATTTAAAATTTTTTAAAAAGGGAAGTGGAGAGACTAGAGTTAGATCAAATCATGGTTTAGTTGTGGGATGAGCACTAGAGGAGTGTTCATACAGAGGTACAGAGGTAGATTAGTAGGTAGGTGGGTGAGTCTGGAGATTCTCTTCTGATAGCTTAGATTTTCCCAGTGAAATGAGAAGCAGGGTTATTAGTTGAGGGAAAGGGAATGGGAGTATGTGTTTGAAAAGTTGGGTATGACAGTGAATGGACTTAGGAAAAAAAAATGCTGGGAAGCATTAAGAATGATTTGATACTGTATCTACTTATGCCTAGAGATACTTAGAAAAGTCAAATTTATAGAGTCAGAAAGTACATTGGCAGATGCCAGCAGCTTGGGGGTGGGAAGGGGGAATCAGGATTTAGTGTTTAATGGGGACAGAGTTTCAGTTTAGGAAGGTGAAAAACTGGGGAGATGGATGATGGTGAGAGCTGCACAACAATGTGAATGTACTTAGTGCCACTTGAACTATACAGTTAAATATGGTTAAAATAGTATGTTTTATGTGACTTTTACCATAATAAAAATTTTTTTTTTAATGAATTGAGTTTGGGTCGAGTCCAGCTGGACTACTTGAGGAGAGAGGTGACCCCGCGGGGCCTCCTGGGAAAGCTCCCTCTCTCCCCAGGGTCTCCAGAGAGACAGCTGTAATTCCCTGGCTCCAAGAAACACAAGGAGCTAGGCAAGCAGCACACAGGAACTAGTTCCCCAACAGTGTCTAGGTTAGGGGTTATGGTTCCTGTCCACTCCCAACACCGCCTTCACAGCTCCCTACTTGCCGCAGGCAACACTAGGCAGGTGGACTGGCCTGGTAGCAAGGTAAACCCCAAGGAGCTTCCCCACGAGCATCCCGGGAGCTGCAGCCGCACCTTCCCGACCCCCGACCCCCCCCCACCCACCCGCGCCGTCCTCTCCCTAGGCCTGGGGTCCCTAGGGAACACGCTAAGGCTGAAGTGAAAGGCGGAACTTAACGAAACTTGGGACGGATGGTATTGGAAACTCATGATGCAGCAGCACACTGGAAAAATCCAAACTTCTAGCCGTCACGTCTCCAGGAGACGGAGAAAGACCTGGCTTAAGGAGCGCTGCATAGACGCTGGGAAATGTCGTCCCGCCTCCGCGGCCCAAACCGGAGTCGTAGTTCACTCGCCGTCGTGGGTGTTGTTCCAAGTCCACTGCCTGGAGGGACGAAATCTCCCGCCCAGAGAGAGATCGCGTATTACTAGCCACCCTTTCACGCGGGTCTCTCTGTCCCTCCCTTCTGGTGTCTCCGACTGAAGAGCGGGAAAACCGCGAGACCCGTGGAGAAGAGAGGCCGAAGAGCGCGTGAGAGGCCAAGAACGGGCGCCACTGAGCGGGAGAAGGCGAAGCAAGCCTCGAGAGGCTTCAGGCGTGGAAAGTGGGGCGTGGGGTGGGACAGGGCCTTTGTGGGGAGGGGGGGCGCCAGCGCACGCACGTCACTCACATCTCCGCGCTAGTCTGAGCTCCGCCCCCCGTGCCCGCCCCCTTGCCCGGTGGGGCTCGCGTGCTTTCCAGCCAAAATGCTGTGGCCTCGCCTCCCGGCCCAAGCAGGGCAGGAGCGAGATCCTCGCAGAGGGCCGGGCGGACGCGGAAGGGAGCGTTGGTGTGACTCAGACGCGCGTCCCTCCTCCCGAGCAACCTGCACAGGGACGGAGCGGGGCCGTTCTCTCAAGTTCGCCCTCCAGTGGCCTCCCTGCCTGTTTGCCTGTGAGGGATAGCGCAGAAAGAAGGCAGAGGAATGTTTGGATCTGTCTGCGCCATCTCCTACCACTGGTGTTTTTATAAAAGGTTTTGCTTTGTGGCTTCACCTGGCCTCGTGGGGCTCGGGCGCAGGCATCGTACAAGGCGCGAGGAGCCCCTTTATAACCACAAAGGGGCAGCGGCGCCCGCGGCCGCTGATGCCCGGCCTCTGTCATAAAGGCCAGAGCCTCAAATGCGCTTCCCCGCAGATCCGGTGACATGGCATAATAGCTAAGAACATGCCTGGACTGTGACTCTGGCTCTGCCACGTTCTAGCTGTGTGACCGGACCAGGGCATCACAGTACCTTACTGTAGGGCTGCAGTCAGCAAATTAAAATGTGGGACCTCCAGTTAAGTTTGAATTTCAGTTAAAAGACGGACAATTTTTTTTTTTTTTTTTTAGCGCATGTCCCAAATACTGTATTTCTGAAATTCGAATTTAACTGGGAATCAAATTCAAGTATAATTGTATTTTATCTGGCAACCCTGATTTAAGGTATTGTTGGAGCAGTGCATAAACAGTTCCTAAAATAGTACCTGGCATATGTAAACATGCAGTGAAGTTGATATAAAATGGCAAAGCTCCCCTAACTACATCACATCCCAACACATTTGTGTCTGTAGTCATCTGGCTGTGCTATCTGAAATGGTCACCCTTCAGAAAGCCACTCTGTGGAGCAAGTCCAGTGTACATGCCCTCTCTACCCTACTGCCATATTTTCAAAGGGCCAGATTCTCCCTGCTCCCAGTGCCCCTCAAACTCATGTGGGGATTTTGAGGTTCTTAACAGTGCTGGTGTTGTGCCCACTGGACATAGTGTGTGTGTGTGGGGGGGGGTGGGGGGGTTGAGAGATCTGAACCATTATGATGTTGGAGCTAGTGACACTCTTTCTATAGGAAGCTGTGACACAGTCTCTTCTAGAATTAGGGGCATGTTATCTTCTGTGGAGGATAAAGGTGTATGAGCTAGGAGTGAATAAGGAGGGGATGGGAAACCTGTGATGGATGATGTTAATAAAATTTTACCAACTTGGAGAATGTATATTGAGGGGCATTGAGGTATCTGAGCCACTTAATGAGCCACTGAGCTTATTAAGGTATCTGATATATGTGAGAGAAGACTTTGTTCAGTCTGAGAAACCTAAAGGGAAAAAAGAAGAAACTGAAGTGGCAGAACCTAGGATTATGAATGTAAGTCTATTTGATTCTCAAATGTCATTTTTCATCTCTCCTATTCTCCCTCAATCACAACATGCCCCTTCACTTCTCTCACAATAATAGCCTCCTGAATTTTACTGTATTTTTTTTCTTTTACAAAATCTCTTGAATTTCAGTATCTCACTTTATTTTTTAAAGGTTTTCATAGGCAGAAAGAGAGGGTATTCCTCCTTGAGGCCAAGAGGGGTTAAAGTGAAATGCCTCTCACTGCAAACTTGGTGAAATGGAGTGTTAACTTAGGATTTTTTTTTTTTTTCCCTGAGAGGCTTACAGAATCTTAGCTCCCCCACCAGAGATTGAACCCTGGGCCCATGCAATGAACATCGAGTCCTAACCACCCAGTCCTAACCTAGCCCAGAATTTGGACAGAAGTGTCAGACATGTTCTGTTTTTTCCAGCCAGAGCTCCAAGTCTTGAACTACCAGAGAAAACTTTAGGGAGTCTCTGAGATTGTGGAAACCAACCCTCATTTCTCTTCATATCAGCTTAATGTAGCAGCCCATTCTCTCTTTTCTGTATTTGCACTCCCCCTCCTGACATTTGTTGTTGTTCAGTCACTAAGTCGTGTCTGACTCTTTGTGACCCCATGGACTGCGGCACACTAGATGTCCCTGTCCTTCACCAACTCCCGGAGTCTGCTCAAACTCATGTCCATTGAGTCGATGATCTCATCCTCTGTTGCCCCCTTCTTCTGCCCTCAATCTTTCCCAGAATTTGGGTCTTTTCCAATGAGTCGACTCATAAGCTGGCCAAAGTATCAGAGCTTCAGCTTCAGTATCAGTCTTTCCAAGGAATATTCAGGGTTGATTTCCATTAGGGTTGATTGGTTTGATCTCCTTGCTGTCCAAGGGACTAGAAAGATTCTTATCCAGCACCATTTAACCATGTTTAATTATTTCATTTAAAACAATCCTTTTTAAAAAACAGGGTATAGTTCTCTACAATGTTGTGTTAGTTTCTTCTGTACAAAGACGTGAATCAGCTCTGTATGCACATGCCCCTCCCGTTGAACTTCCCTCATCCCCCACCCCTGCCGCATCCCATCCATCCACACCACCACAGAGCAGCGAGCTGAGCTCCCTGTGCCATACAGCAAGTTCCCACTAACTGTCTGTTTTATACATGGCAGTGTACGTACACCAATCCCAATTTTCCAGTTCATCCCTGGACTGCCTCATGTCCACAAAGCCATTCCCTACATCTAGGTCTCTATTCCTGCCCTGCAAATTGGCTCATCTGTACCATTTAGGGACCAATCATTTGGTCTTTGGGCTTCCCAAGTGGCCCAGTGGTAAAAGAATCCACCTGCTAACAAAGGAAATGTAGATTTGATCCCTGGGTTGGGAAGATCCCCTGGTGGAGGAAATGGCCATCCACTCCAGTATTCTTGCCTGGGAAATCCCATGGACAGAGGAATGGGGTAGGCCACAGTCTATAGGGTCGCAGAGTCCGACGTGACTGAGTGACTGAGCATGCAGGCATTTGGTCTTCCCATGCATGTCCTAGAGAGACATATGCAGGATTTCAGAAGGTTTAAAGTTTACTGGTGGTAGAAACTGAAGTGAAGTAGTAAGAGAGGTTGCTAGGTGGGAGAGAAATGCCTGGAATTGTAGGAATCCCTAAGGCAGTCCCCCTTAGTACTCTAATGGCAGCTAGGAACTGTTTGCTTCGGTCCTCAACAAGTACAGAAATTCAGAGAAAGTATTTCAGGACTTTTATAGCAATTTGACAGGAATCATATCTATTGAATTTAATAATGAAAAATGTGGAGTTAAAAAAAAATCTTTCCTTGACCATATATACTCTTCTACTTCTCTCCCTCTCTCTCGATTTCTCCATCCTCCCTCTCTCCCTTTCATCTCCAGGCTTTTGAAAAGCTGCATTTAAGTTTCTTCAGTTCAGTTCAGTTCAGTTGCTCAGTCATGTCTGACTCTTTGAGACTCCATGACCTGCAGCACCCCAGGCCTCCCTGTCCATCACCAACTCCCAGAGTCTACCCAAACCCATGTCCATCATGTCAGTGATGTCATCCAGCCATTTCATCCTCTGTCGTCCCCTTCTCCTGCCCTCAATCTTTCCCAGTATCAGGGTCTTTTCAAATGAGTCAGCTCTCCGCATCAGGTGGCCAAAGCAACTGCAGTTTCAACTTCAACATCAGTACTTCTAATGAACACCCAGGACTGATCTTTAGGATGGACTGGTTGGATCTCCTTGCAGTCCAAGGGACTCTCAAGAGTCTTCTCCAGCACCACAGTTCAAAAGCATCAGTTCTTTGGCGCTCAGCTTTCTTTATAGTCCAACTCTCACATCCATACATAACTACTGGAAAAACCATAGCCTTGCCTAGACAGACCTTTGTTGGCAAAGTAATGTCTCTGCTTTTTAATATGCTGTCTAGGTTGGTCATAACCTTCCATCCAAGGAGCAAGCGTCTTTTAATTTCATGGCTGCAGTCACCATCTGCAGTGATTTTGGAGCCCCCCAAAATAAAGTCAGCCACTGTTTCCACTGTTTCCCCATCTATTTGCCATGAAGTGATGGGACCGGATGCTGTGATCTTAGTTTTTTGAATGTTGAGCTTTAAGCCAACTTTTTCACTCTCCTCTTTCACTTTCATCAAGAGGCTCTTTATTTCTTCTTCACTTTCTTCCATAAGGGTGGTGTCATCTGCATATCTGAGGTTATTGATATTTCTCCCAGCAGTCTTGATTCCAGCTTGTGCTTCCTCCAGCCCAGCATTTCTCATGATGTACTCTTACTTTTCATTTACTCCTCAGCTCCTTCCAATCTGACTTCAAGAATCACTCTTCTGTGATACTGTTCTCATTAAAGATGCCAGTAGCGTTTGCCAAATCCACTCTTTGGTTCATCTCATTTGATCTCTCTGTTACCGTTGATCTACCTTCATGAAACTCTCCTCCTCTGGTTTCTGGGAGAACATCTTCCTATAGTTGTTCCTTCTCAATGTGCTTCCCCACAGTTATCTGCTTATCAAGTCCCCTCTCATGCTGCATATTCCCTTGTGGGCACATTCCTCCAGGTGTCTGGCTTCAGCTCTCCCTATGCGTTGATCATTTTCAGATTTGTTTTCAATCCAGACCTTTTTCCTCATCTCCAGACCCACATATCCAGTTGTCTTCATTTAGATACTCCATAACCATCTCAACAAATCCAAAATCAAACTGATTTTCCCCATACCTGCTTTTCTTTAGTCCATCTGAATGCACCAAATTTCATTCACAGCCAACTCACAAACCCAGGAACCATTATAGATTTCTCCTTTCCTGACCCTCCCGACCAACTAATTTTCAAGAGCCATAGATTCTGTGTGCATGCATGCTAAGTTCCTTTAGTCATATCCTACTCTTTGCGACCCTATAGACTAGCCTGCCAGGCTCCTCTGTCCGTGGGATTCTCCTGGCAAGAATACTAGAGTGGGTTGCCTCCAGGAGAAGCAATGCTCTCCTCCAGGGGATCTTCCTGAGCCAGGGATAAAACCTTTGTCTCTTACATCTCCTGCATTGGCAGGCAGGTTCTTTACCACTAGTGCCATCTGGGAAGCCCACAGTTTCTAACCCCTAAATATCTTATATTGCTCTCATAATTTGATTTTCCTTTCCCACTGCTCTAAATCAGATAATATATTAATAAAATTGTTTTGAAGTGTTTTTCTAACAACTACTCAAGATAAAAATGGAACTCCTGGGACTTCAGTGGTCCAGTGGTTAAGAATCCACCTGCCAATGTAGGGGACAGAGATTTGATCCCTGCTCCAGGAAGATCCCACATGCTGTGGAGCAACAAAGCCTGCATGCTATTCTGCAGCCTGTGCTCTGCAACAAGAGAAGCCACTGCAGTGAGAAGCCCGCCCACCTCAG